TTTTTGAGACAGAGTCTTTCTCTGTCGCCCAGGCTAGATTGCAGTGGTGAGATCTCAGCTGACTGCAACCTCTGCCTCCCAGGTTCAAGTGATTCTCCTACCTCAGTCTCCTAAGTAGCTGGGACTACAGGCATACACCATCACGCCCAGCTAATTTTTGTATTTTTAGTAGAGACGGGGTTTCACCATGTTGGCCAGAATTGTCTCCATCTCCTGACCTCGTGATCCACCCGCCTTGGCCTTCCAAAGTGCTGGGATTACAGGCATGAGCCACCACTCCCCGACAACTACCATATTTTTATATGGGATCAAGAACTTGGGGTAAATACAGTTGACTTATAAACAAGCTTTTGAAATGTTGTTTAAAGGGGATTATAAGTTGGAGACAACCTTTAATGATTCATGCTTTATGTCAGCTATACCTAAAGTCATGAACAAAGTAAACCTTCAGGAAGGGAGCTGAGCACAAAATGTTTTCTTTTGTTTCTTTACTTTTTGAGACAGAGTCACGCTCCTGTCACCCAGGCTGGAGTGCAATGGTGTGATCTTGGCTCACTACAACCTCCCAGGTTCAAGCGATTCTCATACCTCAGCCTCCCACATAGCTGGGACTACAGCTGCCCACCAATGTGCCTGGCTAATTTTTATACTTTTAGTAGAGACGAGGTTTCACCATGTTGGCCAAGCTGGTCACAAACTCCTGACATCTCAGGTGATCTGCCCACCTCGGCCTCCTAAGTGCTGGGATTACAGGTGTGAACCACCTGTGCCCGACCAAGAAAATTGGAGTATTTTCTTCATAGCTATTCAGACAACCTGTTAAATTGTTAACATGGTTCTTTACCATTTCAAACTATTTTTCCCTCTGTAATTTTAGCTCATTTCCTAAAGGGCCATTCTAAATTTTAACTATCTGGAGACCATAATGAACATAACTGCCTGGAGACCATAATGAACATAACTGTTGGCTCAAAGGACTTGAAGATTTGGTTCTTAGATATTATGTTTCCAAACTTAAACCATGTCTGCAATCATACCAGTTTCTAAGTTTCTATTTTGGGCAAGACAGTGTCTATATTCTCTGTATTATTCTCTGTCCTTTCTCCTCAATTGAGCCTTTAAGATTTTTGCTGTGTTCTTTACAGACCTGATGGACACCAGAACAACCTGAGGAGTTCTGCATATGAATCTCTGATGGAAATTGTGAAAAACAGTGCCAAGGATTGTTACCCTGCTGTCCAGAAAACAACTTTGGTCATCATGGAGCGACTACAGCAGGTGCTTCAGATGGAGGTAAGACCTAAGAAGGCCCCTGACTATGGGTGGGTATAGGGCAGTACTTTGGACACCTAGGTCTATTTTCCAGACTGTTCTGTCTTTTTGGTGTTTATATATTTTCTCAGAAAGATATGAAGCTTATTTAAAAAAAAAATTGCACCTTAACGTTAGCATTGCTTGTCATGGTTTACTCATACATGTGTTATATATGTTGTGGGCTTGTTGTTTACTTTCCTGTGTTAGCATTAGGGAAGATTATTGAATGGTTACGTAGAGTATGTTTTCTTCTTTTCCTTGTAGTCACATATCCAGAGCACATCTGATAGAATCCAGTTCAATGACCTTCAGTCTTTACTCTGCGCAACTCTTCAGGTATGATGGTGCCATATCATTTCTTAGTAACTCCAGGGAAGATAATTAATATCTCAGTATGACAAGTTCATGTATACACAGAACTGAAAAATGGTATAGATGATGCTGATCAGAAGCTGTTCTCAGAAGGCTTTGGTCTGTGATTGATGGATTGGGAGAGGAATTTCCCACTGGCCTTTCCTCACTGTCTAGAAAGATTCAAGTCCTACTTTATTTACAGACAGTCTAGATATAATCTTGATAAACTCAGATCAACTTGACTTCTCCCAACTCAGTGTACACTCATCAAACCTCCCTCCCTCACTCTTGTTTGTTTCAACTAATGTCACGGTGTAGAGAAGGAAACTACTTGATGTTTGATGGTTCCTCCCAGTTGTAGAGCTCATTTGTGTTGACAGCTTGAATGGTTTTGGTTTTTTGATTTTGAAAAACAAAAGAACTCTTGGTTTTTAATTAGGTTATTCAAGCCTAGCTCAGTCAGATTTGGTTCCCAGCTATAGTTCACTTGGCTAAAAATAAAGCCTTGAGTTTGTACCATCATCTTTTGAAACACTGGTGTCAGTGACATTAGTTGAAACAAGAGGAAGAAATGTTTGATGAATGTATATTGAATTGAGAGAAGTCAAGTTGGTTTGATTTTGATCGAGATTATTTCTAGACCATCTGTAAATGGGTAGGATATAGGAAGGGTTGCTTTTTGTTTGTTTTATGAAAAAGAGCTCTAAGGTAACAGGGCTTTCTCTAAAGCTGAAGTCATTTAACTATCTAGTAAGACAAGACTATGGAGGCTACCAGCATGGATTTGTCAGACAGTAAGACAAATAAAATGCAGAGGACATGACCTGCACAATGGAGGATCAGCTCACATTGGTTCTGAATTGAGAAATTCAGAAACTGGAAAATGTTAAAATATATTGCTGGCTGGGCGCAGTGGCTCACCCCTGTAATCCCAGCATTTTGGGAGGCCAAGGCGGGTAGATCACCTGAGGGTCAAGAGTTTGAGATCAGCCTGGCCAACATGGTGAAACCCCTTCTCTACTAAAAATACAGAAATTAGCTGGACACAGTATGTTGTGTGCCTGTAATCCCAGCTATTTGGGAGGCTGAGGCACAAGAATTGCTTGAACCCAGGAGGTGGTGGTTGCAGTGAGCAAAGATAACACCACTACACTCCAGCCTGGGCGACAGAGCAAGACTCTGTCTTTAAAAAAAAAAGTAGGGGGAGGGCTGGGTGCAGTGGCTCATGCCTGTAATCCCAGCACTTTGGGAGGCCGAGGAGGGCAGATCAGCTGAGGTCTGGAGTTCGAGACCAGCCTGACCCACATGGAGAAACTTCGTCTCTATTAAAAATACAAAAAATTAGCCGGGTGTGGTGGTGTGCGCCTGTAAT